TAATGCAGGACCTCCCATTTTCTTCAACATTTGCTCATCAATTTGTAACGTAGGTTACAATAATGGCTATTGTTAAGGTACAAAATTGTGGATTAAGAAGGTTTGCACAATACCAAAGTTGGGTTTGTAGAGGTATGCTCAATTTTGCTCTTGCTTTCTGGTCTATGAGTTGCATAGCTTCCATTGTATAAAATCCTGAATAAGCCTTTGTGCTTTCTATTGCAAGCGGGCGAAGTGCGGAGAGATTTTGCTCTTAGATTGTACTTTACTACCGAAAGTACAAGGTAACTCTATATTCCCACTTGATGCATGTCATTTATTGATTAAATATTATTACAATTATACTTGATCCATTTGAATCATGTGCTTAAATGAACAAGTGTGTGAATGATTGTTCCACTTTGAAAATTATCTTGTAGTTGATGCAATTTATTGGTTCAATAGTTAAGTGACTGAGTTATTGTGTGTGGATAGAAATTGCCATTTGAATAGATAAACGGCTATATTTACATGCTTTTTTATTTTTGTATTGAATTTCGTAGACCTGATAATTGTTTGATATAAGTTAGTGTTTGTAATGAGGAAAATTAATTTGCTCTCTAATTATTTGTAGATGCATGTATTGATCGAAATAATGGTTCTTAGTTGTAGTAGTCAAGCAAACAAATGCTATATATAAATTTTCTATGTTTAAGTTTAGGGCTTGTGGGTTGAAATTTAGGATGGATCAAACCAACAATATTGAAAAACTTAATGTTAAAAAGCAATTTGGGAATCAAAAGGCAAGAAAAAGATATGTATTGTTATCAATAGAAGAAAAAGATAAAGTACGATTGGAACAACAGAAAATAAGCGTAAAGCACTAAAAATTCATGTTCATTTTGTTAAAACTATTAAACAAAACAATGGTGAGTATTCCTGATTGAACAACCTAATTTTGTTTGAAAGATTAAACTTGGGGAAAATGATACATATGATAACACCATGAGTTTCCATTTGTATTAGACATGGAAAAGGAAAGTAGGGAATTGTGCCGTTATTGCTCAAGAAAAGAATCTAGCCAAGCACCAGAAAAATGTAATGCTAATTCTGACAATAGAAAGCTTAAGGAACATATAAGTGTGTTCCACTTGATATCAAGTTATCAAACACTGTTAAGTTATTTGACCACACCACAGGTATCAATCCCCACGCTTCGCGTGGGACTTCTCTCTAGTTATATTTAGTGAAAATTCTTTTGTCTCTTTACGTACTATTCTCTCAATAGTATCCCTCAATGATGATATTGGTCTAAATTTATCATTTTTAAACTTATTAGTATGTAACGGTGAAGAGTACTTATTGCACCATCTAATGGTGGATTTAGCTTGAAGGCACAAAATCCAAAAAGGAAGTTAGAATCTCCCTATAATTAGTAGGTTTTAAGGTCCTTTGAGAGTCAATTACCAATAACTATGATATACTGATGTGAATAGACAGGCACGTAGGATTGCAAATGGGGGAGATCAATATGAAAAATTTTGGCTAAGCTTATGTGTCTAATGGGCTGGGAAGAGATTGGGCTTATGTATGAGGCCCAATTTAAATGTTAGCCAAGTTTTGACTTCATTAAATTTAGCCCCAATTAACGCTCGTTCCAAACAATTATATATAATAAAGTATATAATTAATAATCATATAAGTTTAGTTTATAATATATATATGTGTCAAGGTAATAAGATATAATGTGATAATTGTATCACATTATATAATGTGATATTTTTATCGGTGTGTAGACAAAATTGTGTGATAATTGTGAGCTAATAGGTCGAAAACCCCAATACTTTTGTGAGTTGAGGATGTGCCCCAAAAGGTAAGTCCAAAGCCTGAAATCTACTCCCTCCGTTCCACTTTGATAGTCCTGTTTTCCTTTTTTGTCTGTCCCAAATTGCAGTCCACTTTCCAATTGAAGAATGTAGTTGTATTTTCATTTTCCTAAAATACCCTTATTCAATACAAAGTTGTTGTTGCTATAAACCTACCCCATTTAATGAGAGTTGATTCTTTTTTTACCATCAATTCAAGTTCCCATAAAGTTGTACTCTATTTAATGTGAGGGTATTTTAGGAAAATAGCAATCTAAATTTACTTTTCCAACAAAGTTAACTACTTTTTCTTAAACTGTGTGACAAAAGAAACAGGACTATCAAAGTGGACGGAGGAAGTATTACTTTAGCCTTTTTTTTTTTCGGATGAGTTAAGTTTGAACTTGTCAAAATCTAAAAAATCTAATTCAAAAACCCAATTGACAACTCTACCGGCATATCTCATAAGTCACACCACAACTAACAAACAGGTTTAAGGCCGTTCAAAGTGCTTATAAAAAGCTCTGTATGGGCAAAATATACGTATCTGAATGGAGTCAATGGGCAATTATGAGGATGGCTTAGGTTGGTGACCTCAAAGCAGCGCCAGTCCATGGTCTCCTCAAGCGGGAGTGGCAGTCATAATTTTGCTCACAAGGGCCTGTGTGCACATAGCCCTTACACAATCCTCACAATTTTCAACCGTATCAAGCGTGTGTTTTTATGGGAATAATTTATTATTTTGTCATTGAAGGTATACTGTAGGGATGGCAGTGGGTCATGTACTTTCGAAAATCTTTCTTTCCAAACCCTAACTTGCACATCTAAGTATATTATCAAACCGAGTTTTAATTCCTATTACCAAACCCTCTCACTTGTTGGTTGGATTACCCATCTAGTATCCTCTACCCACTAAATTCAATAGTTTGAAAAATGAAAATTAACCTTTATAAAACTAAAACCAATGCATGCAGCATGTTAAATTAACAAATTATATTGAGTTTTAAATTTAGGTAAAGCCATCAAACTTGAATGAAAAAAATCAAACATTTAATTAAGGGTTAAATTAATATTCTTCTGTTTTTAATTATAATTGTCTTCTTTTGTGTTAGGTTAGAGTTGTATCTAATTGGGTTATAAAATTACGAAACGTGTTATCGGATTATAAAATTGCAACATTTATATACAAATTTCAAGTTCGAGATATCCCACTTACACTAATATATGTGTGTGTATATATATATATATATATATATATATATATATATATGAGGTAATGGAGATCTGGTATAGGATTTTTTGGATCCTTTTAACAAACTCTATCGGGTTATCCGTTGGTAACTTCTCATCAAGATCAAATCCTAATGGATAATCAATTAGTTGTACAATCAGATTAACCATTGGGTCGAATAGCGACTTGGGTTAACCACTAGGTCAAATACCCTGGGTGTTGGATTTTGCTCGACTCATTTCCGTCTCTATATACACTTAATCATAAATCATATCCTTACAAGAAAAAGCAGTAACTAATGTAAACTAAAGGACACATGTTGTGATCTTCGAGTAAATTCCTAAAATTGTTTGTGTAATCTAAAAGACACAGCCTCCAATTTTTTGAATAAATTCCCAAAAAGTGGGACTTTTTTAAAAATATTCTCAAAGGATGGTAATTTTCAGTACTCTTCCTGAAGTGTAAAAAGTGCATTTAGTGAAGCAATATTTCCATAAAAAACACACTTACATTACACGCTTTAAATTAATTTGTCTAGGCATTTATTTCTTAAACACACATCCACTAAATTCGCTTTTTAAACAACTCATTCGCCAAATACGTTTTTACAAAACCTTCACTGTCTGCGAGCATCTAGTTGCAACGGTTATCTGGTAATTGTTTTTAAGCTTTGTACGCACACAAGCAAGTTTTATATACATTCATTGAACCTCTGTACACATGCTTTGCCATTAGGGCTTTGTACATACACAAGCAATTTTATACAACACTTACTGAATCGCAGCACATACTGATTGCAATTAGAGCTGCTTGTAAATGAGCGGGGGTGAGTCGGGCTAATTGTTTCATTTGAGCTTTTTTCCAAATTTATATCAAAACCCTGAATATTCAATTCATTATTTGCTTGTCCAATTTGGATAATTATGCGATTTATTGGAAACTAGAAATCCATTAAGTCCCTATCTATTCTGCAGAAAATGGTCCCGCTTGGCAAGTGAATTTTTTGGATGTTTGTCTAAAACTTTACTATAACTTATTGTAGAAGTTTTTAAAAAAATTTTTGAAGTGTGTAAATTTTTGAATATTTTAAAGTGTATAATTTAAAAACTTTAAGAGGTTTTTTGAGGTTACTGTAGTTAAAATTTTTAAAAATTTGTAACAGACAAACTTGACAAAAAACTTAATTGCCAAACAGGGTCGTTACTCAAAACGGTAAAATGATAGAAGTCATTGGTTTAGTCTTCATTCGATTATTTGTGGTTAGTAGTTGTTACATTTTATGTTTGTAATCCATAAGTATAGATCCCTCCAATGTTATTACTTGTGATCATATAAAAAAGAAGAAAGGGAAAAAGGACAATGCTCGAGTTTGCCTTTTTTTATTATTTTTTTAGTGTGTTGTGTACCCTTTTTCTTGTTTTTAGTAAAAGATGCATTTATAAATAAGGAAAGATCAATCATCCTCTCCAGCACATGTATGAAATTGTGAAATGAGAGGCAAACGACAGAAAAAGCACAAGATAATGACCTAAACAAAAGCCCCTAATAAGAAAGGAAGAAAAAAAAATTGTCAAGAGTCTGAACTAAATTCACAATTCAAGAGAAGTTTTTCCCATTCCACATAATTAGTTAATATCATTTTTCAAAGTTTCTAGTATATTCGAGAACTAAAAAACGAAGCTAAAATTCCACTTATACAGGAGTTTGAAGTTAAGTATATTCCTTTTGTCTATCTCTAACATTTTTGGTTATACTTCCTATTCGGATTCTACTTTCTATTCTAAACGTATAACAAATGGACAGAAATGGTGATGACTAATGACGGGTTACTGACTGGCTTCTTTTGTCCTGCATCAGAAGCTAGCGTTAAGAGAAAGAGGGACACACAAAGGCATATAGATACTCAGCTTCTGGCAACTAGAAACATAATTACCTGCACGGTGTTGATGGGCGATCAAGAAGGTTCATGGCTTAGGTAGGTATCATCCATTGCACTTTGGAGGGGTGCCTCCCTATGGCCTCCCCATGTGGGAGAGCCAACGTTGTAATTTGCTGCAGCGGAGGCCTGCGTTCACGGAGCCCTGCCCAATCCTCTATCGAACAAAGCTTTAGTATATCAGCAGCACATGTAGAATTGTTTCTGATGGTAAATATTTGTGTATAAGATCAATTTATGCTGTTTTGAATTGTTTCTGAGAGGCAGCGATATATTTTTGGTTAAATGAAATTGCCAAATAGGGTTGATCCATGTCTCATCACAAAGGAAATTGGCAGATAATTTGTTGATCCATCCATGTCTTTGTAACTCAGCACGAGCAAAGTCAGTCAGATTTTAGGATATATTATAAAAGTTCAACTTTGTCCCAGTTTGTGTAGGTAGAAAATGGCCGAGTATTTCATGTTTTGTTCAAAGCTTGTTTGAGCTTGTTTAAAAATTTTACGACCTAAAATTTTTATTGACCCCATACCCTTTAACGTACACGCCTATGTTTGAACTCAAGTTTGAGCCGGACTCAAATATGTTGAGCTTTCGCATATTTATTCTGTTACAAAAAATCAAACTTTTCAATCTATTTATTATAAGGGATAATTTCAGAAACCTCTCCTGAGTTTCTAATAATTTCACTCACCTATCGTCAGATTTGAGTAATTACACTAACCTACCTTCATGTAGTAAAACGACTCTAATATCTTTCACTTATAAATAATTTCTACAAAAAAAATCCCTACAACTATAACTAGTCTTTCATTCTAAAGCAACGGTTATCACATAAAATAAACTTTTATTCTCTCTCTCCGATTTTCTTTCCTATCTTCGTTCTTCTACACCTTATAATCCACTATTTTTCAGTAAATTGCCATCTACATAACCATTTAATACATCGCAAATCCTCATTATTATGGAAATAGATCCTCTCTCCCTTTTTTTGTTTTCCTTTTTCTGTAAGTATTATTGAATTGAAATTGTCAAATGACAAGTTACCAAATCAAATTTGTTGTCAAACTAAATGAAGGTGAAAAGGATGGCAGTGATACAGACAAGAAAATAAAAATAATAGCTAAAAAGAGAACATGGATTGAGGAAGGTTACGTTATTATGCCAATTGTGTAAAAAAAGAATTTTGGGATATAAAAATTGCAATTAGAGACATGGGATATGGTCTCTAGTGTTACTTTTGGTTGCTCCGTGTTAGTATTCTTGGTGGATTGGATTATTTTAAAACCAACATGGTTGCATCCATTTAAATTGAATTTGGATAGTGACATTGGTCAATTCAAACATTGAATATAGGCAAAAAAAAATGAGACTAGAGATTATGTTGAATGCAAACTTTAATTGTCATAGTTGATTTGCATGGAAAGTTTTGAAGGGGGGGGGAGGGAAAGGAATTAGTAGGTTGTCAAAATTGTGAGAATATGGGGATTAAGTTGAAGTGGTTTATTGAGTTTATTAGACTGGTGGTTAGGTAATTTACAATAGTTGCAACATGTAAGAAATTTATTAGTGAGTTTTTTCTCCTTCTAAGTAACAAAGGGGTATTTTAGGATTTTTTAGGACAAATTTAGCATATTGGGTCTATATTGTTACTGAAATGCTAATCATAGGGGAGATAAGTGTAATTTTTTAAAATAGTGGGGAGCTTCCTGAAATAGTTAGAAACCTCAAGGGAGGTTTCTGAAATTATCCCTTATTATGATCAAACTTTGTTTTGATTTGTTGACAGCCCTAATTGTGATGCATAATAAGACACTTCCATGATTTAATTCTTAATTTTGCTAGTCCAATTTAGACCACCAATTACGTCAATAATTGGAAAGTAACCATTCCTTTGGTCCCTATTACGTACAAAACAACATAGTGTTTGTAAAACGATAAAAAAGTGGTTGATCGTTTTCTTTCTTTTCCATTTTATTTTTGGTGGAAAAGTATCTTTTATCTTTGCGTCTCTGTTTGTTTAATTTTTCCTAGTGTTAAAAAGCGGTTGATTCTTGGAAGGTCTAGTAGTCCTTGCATGTGACCGATACTTCAGTCAATCAACTTAAGAGAATAAACTTCAGATTTAATTGCACAAAGTTACTTGTGGGTTAGAGGTTGGAGAATAGTAGAAAGTTGATCATGTTCCTAGGAAGGCAAATCTCTATTAAAATTGTTTAATCAATGAAGTTCTGATAGATTTTTTTCTTAGAAAGTTGATCATGTTGCTGATTTTTACTACTTAAGTAAATATGAATATACAGTTCTAGATTTATGATTATTATAAAAATTTAAATTATTTAAAAGAATATTTGTAAAAAAATAATAGCTACCAAGTTTTTGATATGGGGTACATTATTTGATGTATAGTATCATATTATAGTAAAAGTCTGTAAACAAATTTTTAAAAATTAATAAATAATTGAATATTTAGAATACATTAATATTTTTTAAAATAAATATAGATGAGCATGTAGGATTGCTGTTAATTTTGTATTTTAAATTATTTATATTTGTATAAATTCGTAATAAATAAAAAAAACCATACTAAGGCAAAAGAAAAATTCTAGTCTCTATTAAAATTGTTTAATCAATGAAGTTCCGAGAGATTTTTTCTACCTGATTTTTAAGAATTTTTTCCCCTTTTAGTTGATAATTTTGTTGCCGATTAAAGCTTAAGAAAAACGTGCCTTAAATCCACAAAGTGCACATTGATGAATTTGTTGCAAATTACTTCTTCAAATTATCATTATAGCTCATCATTTTTTGTTAGAACAAGGAAACCAAGCCTAGGTTATCTATTTAATTTGTAATAGTTTTGTTGGGATCAAATGTGATAAGTGCATATTTTGAGTGATTTAAATGTGTTTTATTATCTAGTTTTGGTATGTTTTATTCACTTTTATAACTAATGAACTAGGTTTCTAGTGAAGTTGTGGTTTAAGTGTCAAAAATTGCATTTCTATGGATTAAAATATTGAAAACTTCATATTTTTGTAGGTTTAATGATTCAATCATCAAATGGTGTGAATGGAAAATATAATTGGATGATTTTTGATGATTTGAAGTGATTTAAAGAAAATATGAAGTGCCAAATACTCAAAAGAGGAAATGCAATCAAGAATAAAAGAGGAGAAGTTTGATAGTTTTGACATTTGTTGGTATTTTGGCTATATCTTGAGCTACAAGCATTGGATTGAGGTGATTCTTGAGTCATTTTGAAACTAACATATAGCTCTACATTTATTATGAGGCATCAAAATCCATTTCATGAGTTTTCCTTGTCAAAAAGTTGAAACATAGTTGGTCATTTCTGTTATTGAAAGCTGAAATAGGGGATTGACCAGTCAAGGGTATTTTGATCATTTCTCGATCCATAGAGCTCCAAATTGGATGATTCTTAAGTATTGGAAAGATAACTCAAGGGTCTACAACTTTCATGTTTTGAAAAAGAGTTAATTCAGCCTCCATCATAAAGAAAACATCAGTTAAAGTGGTAATAAAGTCGCAGAAGTGAAAACGTAATTCCGTTTGAAAGATAATAACATTCAATTAACCGGTAATTTCATTTGAAAGAGTAGTTAGGAATTCTATACCTCAATGAGTTTTTTATTGTTATTTTTATCACTTTTATTTCTTGTTTATAGTGTAAATTTAATTTCTTGCACTTGTGATAGTCTAAATAAGAAAGGAATTCGAAAACTATCGATAATTGACATTCTTCCTTGTAAGTTCGACCCTAAAACCCTATACTTAATCTTGACTTGTATACTTGTAGAAATCACGTGTGGAGTATTTAGAATTTTATAAATATAAAACTTGATTGTGGAATGAGGCGCTCGTCAAAATGCTTAATATTTTTCTTATTTTAGGAAATGTACATTAATTACTACTTAGTGCATAGTTTAATTTATTCACAAGTCTAGTAGGCTACATATAAAACGCTTGTTGGAATATTTTTCTTAGAGAATCTAATAGAGTCTTAGGTTTTATATTGTTTGAAATATTTACATCATTGTGACTTGTTTAATCTCTCTGCCAAAGATAACTTCTCTCAATTCTACGATCCCATCAGAACTCCAAAAATTTAGTTTGACAATGTCCAAGCAAATTCATCCAACTCAACTAGCAATAATAATCGCATTATCAGGGCAAATACAAAAAGGACCGCTCGCAACAAAAAATAAGAATATTGTATTTTATTTCATTAAAAAATGGCTAAAAAATAGCCAAAAAAAATAAATAAAAATGGTCCACCATATACAATTGCAATACGTTTGACAAAAAAATATATATATATACAATTGCAATACTATTTATTTATTCATTTGTTGCAGGTTGGAGTCTTTTTTACTATAGATGAGAATGTCGCAAGTTGAATAGGAAATACCATAAACTGAATCCCAATCGGTAAAGGCAATAGAGCTATAATGAAACATGCTTGTTTCCCACATCGAAGAAACTAAGAGGTAAGGCGGCTGAGTACTCTTATAATATGCTATGCTTTGACAACGGAAAACATACTTACCTGGACGGGGTCGATGGGCGATCAAGAAGGCTCATGGCTTAGGTTGGTGACCTCCATTGCACTTGGGAGGGGTGCCTGCATATGGTCTCCCCAAGTGGGAGAGCCAACGTCATAATTTGTGGCAGGGGGCCTGCGTTCGCGCGGCCCCTGCCCATCTCTAGTTCCCAAATCTTTTCTGGTTTTGGTCTTTTTCCTCTTTGGTTCCATAGCCATAAAAATCTGAAACTATTCTTTATATTGTAGAATGCCATTAAAGACCGTAAAAGGTTTAATATAGTTCCTTAATCTTCTCTGGCTTTGGTCTTAGTCCTCTTTGGTTCCGCAGCCATGCATGAAAGTCTGAAACTATATTTTTTCTTGTAGAATGCCATGAAAGACCGTATATCTGCATAAAGGTTTAATATTGATGGTCAAGTTTGATCTGCATTATGTTTATAGGCATGGAAATCATATTCACGTGCATCACAGTAATGTTCAGCTGAAGATGAAAAAAGAAAAAAGAGGAAAATAGCTTTCTTTATTATGGTGAATGGGAAATTTGGCAACAAAATGATGGAAAATAATAACTAGGAAGCTGTCGCAT